TAATAATAATCATAATAGTAATAATAATAATGATAACTATTATCATTTTCATTTTTCATTACTTTTTGGTTATGTTTATCACTATTATTATTGTTATTGTTATCATCATTAATATTATCATTATTCTATGATTATCATGATCATCATCATTATCATTATCATACTTTATTTCTATTATTATCATCCTTTATCTTTATCATTATCATTATCATTACTTTCATTATCATCATTATCATTACTTTCATTATCATCATTATCATTATTTTCATTATCATCATTATCGTTACTTTCATTATCATTATTATCATTACTTTCATTATCATTATCATTACTTTCATTATCATCATTATCATTTCTTTCATTATCAATACTTTCATATCATCATTATCATTATCATTATTATTTTTATAATTATTATCCTTACTATTATCTTTATCATTATCGTGTTTCTTATTGCTACTATGTTTATGATTATTTCTATTATAAATATTACTATTATTCTTTTTGCCATTATCGTTGTTGTTGCTGTCTGTATCAGGGCCGGCGTTAGAAGTGCGAGGCCCATTTAGAAAACTGACGGTGGGGCCCTTATTGTACAGAGCAAAATTTATGGATGTTTATATTTCATATAAAAACACATACAAACCAACAAAAAGCGAATAAACATTGAATGCTTGGAATAATATTTTTAAAAAGCAATATGAACAGTTTTATTGTTTTACTTGCATGATACGAAATGACAATGTGACAATGCGAGAGGCCCTGTGGGTCAAGCCGGTCAGATCGGCTTAAAGTCGGACCTGGTCTGTATTAATATTTCTATTATCATGATCACATTTGTTGTTGTTTTTGTTGGTAGTGTTATTTTGTCCTTATTAGTATTAATATTATTATCATCATTATCATTATCATCCTCATCGTCATCATCATTAATATCTTTATCATTATTGGTATCATTATTATTATTAGTGTTATTGTTATTATTATTATTATTATTATTATTATTATTATTATTATTATTATTATTATTATTATTATTATTATTATTATTATCTTTATCATTACTGTTAGTAATATTGCTGTTATTATCAGTACTATTGATATCATTATCATTATTATTGTAACTTATTAGTCTTTAAGATCATTATTCTCATTATCATTTGTAGCAGTATGTTTACTACTATTGTTATTATCATTATAATCTTTATTATTATTATGACCATTTTCATTATCAGTATTATCTTTATTATTACCAAAATCATTATTATTATCATTATCAGCATAATCATCATTATCATTATTAAGACTGTTATTAGGCGGTGGTGATGCTGATGATTTTTATTATAAACATTGTCATTTCTATTTTTGTTATCATTTTCATCATTGTTATAATTTTTCTTTTTTTTTTCTTTTATTTTCGTCGTTTTAATTACTACTTCTGATCATATAATTATTTCTATTTTCATGACTATTTTAATATGATGTCTATTGACAGTAATTCATGTTTCATGTCTTTTATTTCAAGTTGTTTGTGAATGATCGCAGTTATCATTGCTATTACTAATTATAATTATCAATATTATCATTATACATGCCATTATTATCTTTATCATTATTCGTATTTCCATATTTTCATCACTGTAATCATTATCACTATCATCTTGCTAGTATTATCGTCACCATTGCTGCTCATATTCTGAGTATTGTTCTAACGTTATCTCTGCTATAATTGTCATTAGTATTTTGATCAACACAATTACTTTCTCTTTCTGATTTCAGTGTTGGTCTTATTATTATCATCATTATCATAATTATGATCGGCATCACTGAGACTTCGAACGGATATTGCTACTTAATTAGAATCAAACATTCTCGAAGTTCATAAGTAACAATTTTACCGCTTCTGACATTATCGCTGTTATCATTATCATTACCGCTTTTCCACGTAATGTTTGATGTTGTTAACCTTGGAATAATCAGCATAAGAATCTACGAAAATGTTCATATACATTATATACATTTCTCTCTTGCTTCACGTTCTTTCTGGCCATTGCCGATACAAGGTGTCTAAAGGAAATAACAATTTCTGATTTTGTGTTTAATTAAATAAATACCATATATTTACATATATACAAGAACAAATTAAAGGAATGTGCATCTGATAAAAATACAGAAAAAATAGTCAAATAAAAAACTTGATAGTACTCATCTGCTTTATATTCACAAGATCGGATCTACTATTGCATGTAGTAGAAAATCACATGATAATAACAGAAAACATTTCACAAAATAAAAATGAATATCTTATCGTCATAAACATATTAGTGAGAAACTTGAATGGGAGTACAGAGTGTGGGAAAGGGATATGTTATGTAAAGCTTAACTGACCAAAGAAAATAAAAGTCCAACGCGTCATCCAGAGTAAAATCATCGAGTTATGGGGGTTGTGTGGGATGTGGATGCATGTATGTATATGTTTACACATACATACATGCATATATATATATTATATATATATATATATATATATATATATATATATATATAATACATACATATATATGTATACACACACACACACACACACACACACACACACACACACACACACACACACACATATATATATATATATATATATATATATATATATATATATATATATATATATATGTTATATATCTATACACACACACACACACACACACACACACACACACACACACACACACACACACACACACACACACACAACAAGATATACATACATACATATACACATTTATACATACATACATACATATATATATGATTTATAACTATCCACACATTCATACATTTTCAATATCCACTGTCCGACAAGAGATTTTCAAACTGACCGACAGCTGGTCCTTTACATATGCAAACATTTTGCAATACAACCATTGTTATACGTCTGTTGTGGGTATGTTATGCGCCAAAGCCTAAACTAAATGCGTTTGTGTCCCTGTGCCTGACAAAGTATTGGAAAATCGTTCTCTTACCCCCATCCTTGACAGTGAGCAAATATATCAGACAGATTGATGGATATTCATTCTTTTATTAGCCTGAAATGCCCAACAGAATGCTCTCTAAAGGCTGATTTCTCGCGGACGGGGTGGGGGTGGGGTTGGGGGTTGAAGGCCCTTTTTGAATCGAAGGCCGAAAGGCAGGTCAACCCGCACCAAACACGTCATTTCCGAGGGAATTGTCGCCTGAAACCGCAGACCGACTGGAATCCATCAATTCAAAGGCTTTTAAAAAGGCGTCATTTTTCCTGATAATTGATTCTTGTGAAAGGCATGAATAGACGCGGGCTCTTTACTTCCATATTCTCGCCTACAGAAGTCCACCTCCCTTCCCCTTCCCTCCCACGCCCTCCTTTTTTCCCCTTTCCCTCCTTTTACTTTCTTTTGGCCGCGGGAGAAAAGCATCCTGTGTTCCTGACACTTTTAATATATCGTTTTATTCATTCGGATCTCTCTCTCTCTCTCTTCACTGTATGAAACTGGCCTACCATGATTACAGGAGCTTCACATCCTAAGAAAATGACTGCCTCCTACCGTAGCATTAGCGAATGGTTTTGTTCCCTGTTGATAAACGTAATGATAACTGGGTTTGACAGGCTTCCGATATCACCTCTTTACTGAAGTTTTCAAATCCACGCTATCCTTTTAGTGTGATTCCTGATTCCGTGTGATTAAGCAAATAAATCTGGAAATAAACCTCTGAACAATTTCCAGTATTTGGATGAATGACAATGTACATAAAAGAGAAAAAGAATCATCAATGTTCTACAGAGTCAGTTGGACACAACCTCCCATAGAATCCCTACATTTGTCACACTCCTTTGCAAAATGGTTGTAAATAATAATAACAATGAGATTCGTCTTAGAAAAAATATGAAAGATATCTTCCCCGAGTAGCCACGCGAAGAAGAGACATGAAATAGAGACAATTGTCTTTGTCGTTTCTATGCACAATGTTACTCAAATCACTTTACAAGGATTCTCATACATATTCACCTTTCCTATCAATCTTATATAAAAATGCTGTCAAAGAAAAGGCCTGAAGCATGTGATGGGACTTGTTACAAAGTTCATAAAGGTGCGAGGAATCAGGTTAGGCACTTGATGTTCAGGCAAGCACAACACTTTTTCTCCATCTGTACATGTGCTAATTTTTAACCTAAAAATCATAATTTAATAAAGGCAACATCTACCCCTTTTTCCTCTCGCCCCTCTAAGATCCTTTACCTGAGGCCATCTTAATAGTAGGTAGTGAAAAACAGAGTGAATAATATGAAGGATCACAATCAAGAAAAATATATGTTGATAAATGTAATTGGTCGTCGGCACATGGAATCTTATTTGGATATCTTTCAAGTTTTCACCTTTGGGAAAACACTTATAGCTATCAATACCGTAAGTTTGTTATTGGAATACTGGCATTACACTTTCTACATATTACAGCATGCATGTTGTCCTTACTTTCCATCGCCGCACAACTTTTTGTAAATCATACTGTATAACATACAAACTCGTGGTCGCTGTCACATGCTTAGAGTGACAGAAGCGTCATTCAATTCCCCTTATGACGAAAACGGAAATAAAACCTTTCATTGGTATTGTTCCGGCTCAGGATGTCTAGTTGTTTCTCGGGTTGATTTCCTCCTCGCCTCCAGGCGGCTGGAGTAAAGAAAAGAAAAGAAAAAGAAAGAAAGAAAAAAGAAAATGGGAGGAAAAAGTGGAACAGAGGCGAACTTGCTCACCAGCCCATCACTTTAACACCTCCATTCCCTTCGTCCACATGGCTCGGTGGACCACTAATTACCCGATTTAATTACCGGTCAGGGAGCCATTAAGGTGAGACGACCATTTTCATTTTCCTTGGACAGCGACCAGGAGGAAAGCGGCTTCAAACGTCAACCAAAGATGATCTGGTTTGAGGAGGAAACGAATTCCGGTTTTCTTTTCCTGATAAGTTACCTAATCACAGAATAAAAGATAGAATAACTAAAACAAAAGAATCCTTGCCATCACATCACATCCTGTACTTGACTAACAATTGTAGAAAGATAGGTTACAGCTATGGGACACTTTACATGGAATGGTTACTGTTAAATACTTTGGCATTGCTCTGCATTTGCAAGATATCAAAAAGGATTACATTAAAAATAATCATTAGTGAAATGCATAATATAATGCAATCTTGAAAATAACTTGTTACAAAAAGTATAATCTGATCAAAAGATATTTACAATACATTTTACTAGACTATATAGTTAACCTAGAGTGTGGGGACTAGCATAAAGGTTTTTATACAGTGTTTATACACCATCTTGCCGTCTTCAGATCTGTTGCTGAGGTTGCCGCTGTGACGAGACACGGGCGGCCTTGCGGGCGGTCTCCTTCCTTCTCGCCGTCGCCTCTGAATTAAGTACATCAGCTTCCGCCGGACGTCGCTCAGGGCGTGGCAGTGCTCCCGTGATGACCAAGAACTTTTCTTTAACCTACTACTGTGTTAAAGCAGAGCGGATCGCATCACTCGTAGGCCCTGGAGTTTTCCTAATAGATTACGCCAATTCGCATTGACATTTCTTGTGTTCTTGACGACCTACTGACTTCTAGGATGCGTGCAAGATCGGTAGAGACCTTGGGGCGTGGATGCCGAAACGAGGTACCAACCGTGTTGAACATTATAGACTTGCTCTGACGAAACTCTCGTCCTGAATTTCAGTCGCTAAGCGTTCTTCCTTTGCCGACCACGAGGGACACTAAGTAAGCTTCAGCGAGCACAGTTTCTACTGTTGTTGACGATTGTTTCCATGTTGGTCACAGGGATGCGAAACAGTCTCTTGTGCTTCTCCTTTATCTTCTTGCTGACCTTCTGCACTCTACCGTTTCTCACCGCTAGGAACTTATCCTCTTTCTCCGCTGAAATGTACGTGAAGCCTATGCTCTGGTCTTCGTACAACATGCACTGGTACTTTCTCTTTTTGAATGTAATTGTTTCGTTTTTGATATCAGCGAGGGAGTAATCATCGCACCGGGGTGTGCCGTCTCCGAGGTCCGCCCGGTTGTATCTCTTGTGCCGCACTTTGGGACAAAACAGGTCCCTCTGCAAGAAAGAGAAGAGAAAAGTGTTAGGGTTTGGGATTTCGTTGGGAATATTATCATTATGGCTATGGTTTTATTAATGTTATGGCACGAACGGTACGTACACAGAGGAAAAAATAAAAACCTCTCATATCACCAGATGCACATCAACACAATCACAATCATTCGATTCACATCATCACGCATCTCACCTCCCCAAGTAGCCAACCAGCCCCATATCCTCGCTCATCCCCTCGACGCCCCCCCCCCCCCTCTTTCCGCATGCAGACCCGCGGATGAGCAGATGCAGCAGCGGATGATTAAGAGCGGGTAGTGCTAATGGCGTCGGCCTGTACATCACGCTCCCTCCGACCGCCCCGTCATTATTAAGGAAGCCTCCCTGCCACCAGAAGAGTTGAAGACCCGGGTCGCGTCTAATTACAGCCCGGACCGGTAATTACAGGCCGCTGCGACAGACAGGACGTGTTATTTCCAGTCTGTAGGCCTAAGAATCCCCTTGCCAGCCACCCACATCCAGCCTCCAGCTCTTCGCCAGGGCTTCTGTGGCCCTGCGTTGCTTCCATGTCTCTGATGGCAATCGTTTCGGCATGAATAAAGAAAAAACATTTAGCTTGGCAAATCTGTCTGGCATTACACCTAATTTTACTGAATCTTCGTCTTTGGATGATTAAGTACAAATTGCTTTGTGTGTATTCCAAAGATTTCTTAAAATCTTTTTGATATAGTCATGTTTACACTCAATGAAAACAGCTGTCCATACAACCATTAAGGTCTCAAGAGATTCCATTTCTCTTCTTCCTACTTTCACACACTTGCCTAATGCCCTCTGACCTCTTGCCACGCGAGAAACACGTGACCCCAAATCATTATTAATCTGTGCATAAATCAAAATTCCTGGCATTGACATTATAGTAGAATTAAGAGAAATTTTCAACCTAAATATCTACTAATTGTTGTATTACAGAATGTGAAAGTCTGACGTTCATAATTCATGACAATTCCTTTACTGCCTCTTATTCATTATTTACTTATACTAATTTCTCGATATATTGATGTTATCATTACATAAACCTTTCCATTGATTCTTAACATTTTCACAACACAATTTCTTGCGTTGAATCTAGCTATGCTCCTCGCGCACTTTCTCCCTCCTCGCCGAAGGCCGATCTGTCTCTGCGACACACAGGTGGGTGAATTACATGACAAAAGAAGTTCATCTATTCCATTATCGCGTCGATCCATCATCGTCAATTTCCATTACGGAAAATGGGAAGACAAGACATTTAACCGTTAAAACATACATCATAGTTTCTGCCTCGCGAGAGAAAAGTGGTTGTTAACTGTCTGCTAACAGAGAGACTGG